TGATGATGATGATGATGAATGCTGATGATATGATGATGATGATGCTGATGATGATGTGATGATGATGATATGATGATGATGATGATGATGATGATGATGATGATGATGGATGATGATGATGATGATGATGATGCTGATGAGATGATGATGACGGATGCTGATTGATGATGATGATGATGATGAGGAGGAGGAGGAGGGAAGGAGGAGGAGGAGGAGGAGGAGGAGGACGACGACGACGAGGAGGAGGAGGAGGAGGAAGAAGAAGAGGAGGAGGAGGAGGATGTGGGGGGGAGGAGGAGGAGGAGGAGGAGGAGGAGGAGGAGGAGGAGGAGGAGGAGGAGGAGGAGGAGGAAGAGGAGGAGGAGGAGGACCAGTGCAAACCCAAGAGTCACCAACGATGCTGGAATAAACCTTCCCCCAAATCTCCCCCTTCATCTGCCTCTACAACGATTCACTTCCACAGAGGGACCTGCCTCGTTGGAAGACAACCGTCAGAAGACCCTGAAGTATGCCAAAGCAGTATTTTCAGTATTCCAACGCCATGCATGAACCTGATTGTTGCGTCTTGACGATCCTGAATCGTGCCAGATGGGACCTCAACTCCGCGAATCATCGTAACTGCTGCGCCCTCAAAATCGTGAATCCTTCCAAATCGCCGTTTCTGGTACGTGGATCAAGGGAGTTCGTGAAACTCTTGCAATTTTGTATCAAGAATGTGCGAGGCGCTGAGGCGAGAGCCGCACTTTGAAAAGGAACCGCCCTCAATCCGTGAAGCTCTTGCAAATGTTTGAAAACGAATGTACGCGGCGCTAAGGCGAGAGCCACATTTTGAAAACCACCAGCCCTCAATCCGTGAACCTCTTGCACATTTTGAAAAAGAATGTGCGCGGCGGTAAGGCGAGAGCCATATGTTGAAAACCACCCGCCCTCAATCCGTGAAGCTCTTGAAACTGTTGTATCAAGGATGCGCGCGGCGGTAAGGCTAGAGCCACATTTTAAAAGCCACCCGCCCTCAATGCGTCGAACTCTTACAATTTCTAAAACGAATGTGCGCGGCGCTGAGGCGAGAGCCACATTTTGAAAACCACCCGCCCTCAATCCGTGAAATCGTCTGTAAATTTTGAAACGAATGTGCGCGGCGCTAAGGCGAGAGCCACATGTTGAAGACCGCACGCCCTCAATCCGTGAACTTCTTGCATATGTTGAAAACGAATGTGCGCGGCGGTAAGGCTAGAGCCATATGTTGAAAACCACCCGCCCTCCATCTGTGAAGCTGTTGCCAATGTATTAAAGTTTCAGGGCCATAAATGGTGAGGAAGTCTCAGGCGAACCCCCCGGCCCGCCCTAAAAAACTGGCCTCGGGATGCGACAGGGAGGAGTTATCTATTTAGAGAAGGAGAAGGAACGGAGAAGGAATGGAGGAGGAGGAGGAGGAATAGGAGGAGGAGGAGGTCAGGTCAGGTCAGGTCAGGCATTCCTCGAAAGCTCCTCGAGGAGGAGGAGGAGGAGGAGGAGGAGGAGGAGGAAGAGGAGGAGGAGAAGGAGGAGGAGGAGGGGGAGGCGGAGGCGGAGGCGGAGGAGGAGGAGGAGGAGGACGAGGAATCCGAAGGATAAGAAGACGACGAAGACGACTGATATTAACAATAAGTAAAAACACAGTAAAAAGAACTCAGCAATAACACGAATCATACATATATGATTGATAGTACTACGTATGCCAATAATAAGAATACTAGCAGTAGCAATACTATGGATACTAAGAACAGTTAATAATATGCATGAGAAGAAGAACACTAGTTTCCATACTACGAAGAATACTACTCAGAGGACTACTGCGAATAAGAAGAAAACGTATACTAATACATACCTATACGACCACCCTTCGGGTGATAAGGAGGTTGTGGGGGGGGAGAGGGGGGGTGAACCAACACCTGACTCAATCGATCTCGCTAGCGATCTCACTCAGCGGGACGCCACGGGACACTGGTCGATCTCATTATCGATCTCACTATCGATCTCACTCAACAGTACACCACGGGACACCACGGGTCACCACGAGACATTCTGGGACACCGCGGGAGACCTCTCGATCTCATTATCGGTCTGACTATCGATCTCACTAGCGATCTCCCTCAACGGGACACCACGGGACACCACGGGACACCACGGGACACCTGCCGATCTCACTATCGATCCCATTATCGATCTCACTTTTTGGGACGCCACGGGCCACCACGGGACGACTCGGGGCACCACATCGATCTCAGTATCGATCTCATTATCGATCTCACTATCGATCTCATTATCGATCTCACTATCGATCTCACTCAACAGTACACCACGGGACACCACGGGTCACCACGAGACATTCTGGGACACCGCGGGAGACCTCTCGATCTCATTATCGGTCTGACTATCGATCTCACTAGCGATCTCCCTCAACGGGACACCACGGGACACCACGGGACACCACGGGACACCTGCCGATCTCACTATCGATCCCATTATCGATCTCACTTTTTGGGACGCCACGGGCCACCACGGGACGACTCGGGGCACCACATCGATCTCAGTATCGATCTCATTATCGATCTCACTATCGATCTCACTATCGATCTCACTATCGGTCTAATCGAACACACTATCGATATCACTATCGATCTCACTATCGATCTCACTATCGATCTCACTATCGATCTCACTCAACGGGACACCACGGGACACCACGGGACAACACGGGACACCGCGGGACACCGCGAGCCACCGCCGGACAGGGGATAATTACGCTGCCTAGGAACTTCACATACTTATATTATGGCTGGAGCGATGATAGCTGAGGTGAAGCATGTGATAATGATGTTGGTGGCCGTTGCCCCGCCGATACCGTTGGTGACGCCAGTCCAGAGGAGAGGAGGGAGGAGAGCGGAGAGGAGATAAGATAAGTTTTTGTTCAGTGCAAGATAGCGGCCGCGCTCAGAGACCACCCCAGCCGCACTTCCTGTGGTGTCGAGAAAGTGCCACGCCTGCTACGGGCCCTGGACGACTGGCTCGGATAGCGGCCGCGCACAAGACCACCCCCTGCGCACCCCCTATGGTGTCGAGAATATGCCACGCCTGCTACGCCCTGGACGACCCCCTCGGATAGCGGCCGCGCTCAGAGACCACCCCCGCCGCACCCCCGATGGTGTCGAGAAAGTGCCACGCCTTCTACGCCCTGGACGACCGGCTTGGATAGCGGCCGCGCTCAGAGACCCCCCCTGCGCACCCCCTATGGTGTCGAGAATATGCCACGCCTGCTATGCCCTGGACGACCGACTCGGATAGCGGCCGCACTCAGAGACCACCGCCTACGCACCCCCCATGGTGTCGAGAATATGCCACGCCTGCTATGCCCTGGACGACCAACTCGGATAGCGGCCGCACTCAGAGACCACCCCCTACACCCCCCCCCATGGTGTCGAGAAAGTGCCACGCCTGCTATGCCCTGGACGACTGGTTCGGATAGCGGCCGCGCTCAGAGACCACGCCCTGCGCGCCCATTATGGTGTCGAGCCACGCCTGCCACGCTTCGCGAGCCCGCAAGGGAGGTGAGCGAGCTTCGCGGGTGGGATGCGGGAGGGCAGAAAACCCAAATTCCAGGAAATATGTGGGGAATCATTTGTCTTGACTTCGCCCTAGCAACGCCGGACACCACGGGACACCACGGGACACCACGGGACACCTCGGGACACCGCGAGCCACCGCTGGACGGAGGAGAAACATTATTCTTGATTTCGCTCTAGCAACGGCGGGACCCCGCGGGACACCGCGAGCCACCGCCGGACGGAGGAGAAACATTTGTCCTGACTTCGCTCTAGCAGCGGCGGGTTCAGTCTTCTCGTGCGCCCGCGCAGCTTCGCCTCGCCCGCACGCGACATGAACAAAACGAAACGATTTACCAGTTGGGGGTCTCCGTTCCACTGCGATCTCACCCCCGCAAGCTCGGGTAAACATAAGAGTACGAATAGAAACTAACAGTAATAATAAGACTACTAATACTACCAAAGGGAAGTACCAGTATTAAGGGTAATGCGAATAGTACTGCTAGTACTACGATTGATAATCATATTTATCTGGATAGTACGAACAATTATAGTAATCCTAAGAACAACGAAACTGAAAATGAGCCATTATACTAATACTATGCATACTAATACTAATAAGGCTAACCATGATAACAACAATAATAAGACGAATAAGACGACTAACAATAGTCTTAATACTAACACCAACCAGCAGACTAATCATACGCAGATCTGTACGAATAATCACACTACTAATACTACGAATAAGACGACGGGTACGAATAATGAAGAAGGGGACGGATCATACTACGAATGCCATTGCTAACCATACTCGTAATGTGAATGCTAAGACTAATAATAATCATGATACTACTACCCAGAAGATACGAATATACATGATCAATAATAAGACGAGTCAGAAGAGGATGATGAGGCGGAAGGGGGTGGGGAGGGAGGAGGATACGGGATAGGGGACGCAAGTCGAGGGAAGAGGAGATGGGAGGACGTCGGTGATAAGGGTGAGGTTAACGCAGGGGGGGAGGATGGGTGACAGAAGGGGAGGGGAGCTGAGAGAAGTGAGAGGCAGGGTATATGCCTTGCAGTTGTCTCCCTGCTGTTTCCCTCTCTTGCTCTCTCCCCTCAAACGCCCCTCCGTCCCTGTCTCTCTTCACTTCCCGTCTCCGTGTCTTGAAGGGTTCCAAAGGAGATGCCCCCGCGCGGCTCCAAGGGGGATGCCTTCGCTTTTCTCCCCTCTTGCTGCCTTCCCTTCCGTCCTCTTCTTTCCCCCTCCCTCCCCTTCCCTTCCCTCCCCTTCCCCTCTCCCCCGTGCTCCCCTTCCCCCGCTTCCCCTCCCCTCCCCTCCCCTCCCCCGCCCCTGTGGCACCCCCGCTCGGCCATGGCCCCTCGAGCCCTGGGCTCCGCCCCTCCCTGCCCGAGGCCGCCCACGCTGCCGAGGCCGAGGCCGAGGCCGAGGCCGAGGCCGAGGTCGAGGTCGCCCACGGGGCCGAGGCCGAGGCCGAGGAGGAGGCCGAGGGTGAGGTCGCCCACGAGGCCGAGGCTGAGGCCGAGGAGGAGGAGGAGGAGGAGGAGCCCCCCCCCCTCCCGAAGAACGGATGCAGTCGGACCGGGGTATGAAGTCGAGGTCGGTTCGGGGGAGGGCACCCTGGTGCTCCTCGTGTTTGTGGGGTGCGCTTGTGCATCCTGGGGGAGGGTACCTTTGGATGTTCTGTGCGTTTTGGCCGGCGGAGGGTCTCATGTTCTTGAGGGATGTTCTTCTGGCCCAGGTCCGAGTGTAGCGGCACAAGCACAAACTTTCGACGATCCGCGCTGATCTTTTGGGTCGGCGATTGGAGTCCCCTGGCGGCGCCTCCAGCGCCGCCCCTGGCGCGCTCCGCGCGCCAGGGAGGGGGGATCCAGCGCAGATCCAAGAAATCCGCGCACACTGCCGAAAGTTTGTACTCATGCCGTTTTTTTTTATCTTTGTCTATCCTCCCCGCCCATCCCCAGATTCAGGCGATCGCAAACATGGTATCAAGGGGGCGTGGATTAGCGACGGGTCCCGTTTACATGGGACGTCGCGGATTTTCGCCGCCGAGCGAGGCGGCACCGGCCGCATTCTGGGCACCTCCCCCGATCCATGGATTTGGCGACCGCGCGTCAAATCCATGGATCGTTGCGCGCCCCCGACATATTCTCTCCCGTCACGGAAAAAGGTCAAGACGGGAGCTTTTGGGAAATCTTCGGCTTCCGTGGACCCCCCACGGGACCGTGCAAAAACGATTCGGAATGACAAGCCAGTTTCTCTTGAGGCCTTCTCGGGCCGTCTTGGGGCGGTCTTGGGGGTTTCTCGGGACGTCTTGGAGAGCCGTAAACTCGAAAAGTGGAGAGCCCCAAACATATGGAACAACCCCAGGATCATCAGTGATTTTGGCATCTCGGGGCCCTCTTGGAAAGACTTTTGCAGGCCTCTTGGATGACAAGCCAGTTTCGGAGACGATGATCCGCGTTGTGAAACGCCACGACGTCGGAAGTCTGGGTCCGTTGGGTCGCGAGACGACCGCCCACGTCGTCGCTGCTGTGTTGGGAGTGCTGTGCCGCGGGGTGTGTGCATCTAGTCGGCTGCAGACCTCAGTGCTGGGATGTGTGTTCGGATGTACTGGGCCTGACGCGGGTGATGACATACTTCATTATCGCGAATGCCCTAGGCTGCGGGGGGTGCTTCTGAGCTTGTTCCCTCGATCGGGGTTGCTACCATCCTGGGCTGCGGAACTCCGGGGTGATGATTGGCTCCTTGGTCTCTGTTGTTTGGGGCCGCAATGGGGGCGGTCCAGAGGCATCTTGGGGCGCGCGCTCATCGGCTGTTTTTTGTCTGCGCATAACGCGAGGCGCGTTGGGTCCACGTGCCCTGGGAAGGATGTCACCGTCGCTCGCTTGGGACAGTTGGCTCGCCGCCACGTTGAGGCCACGTTGAGCTTCAGGGGGCGTTGGCTGCCTTGGAGGTCCGACGGGCCCTCCCCGCTGCCCATTCTGCCCCGCCTCCCTGGCCGTGCGTTCCTGGGCCCCCCACCCTTTCCTGTGGCCCCCATCTTCCATTAGCTTCCATGGCTTCTGCTGTCAGCGTTAGTTTTACCACCCCTCCACCTCTCGCCGACTGAGCTGAGTGGGCCGTCTCCCCGATTGTGTGTTTCGCTGAGTATTGACATGTTTGTTCGACAATTGCTGGTTCCCTGGGGGGTGTTGCGCCTTGTCTGCCTTCCTTGTTGTGCTTCTCCCTGTGCGTGTTGCGTTCCCTTGCTCCTCCCTGTCTGGTCTGTCCTGTCCTTCCTTTCCTTTTTCTGCTTCTTCCTGCCTGCTCTCGCTTCCCTTGGCCCCGCTGCGGCCGTCCCCTGCTCCTGCTTCTCGTTGTCCTCTTCCGCCTCTCCCCTTGTTCCTTGCTGTGAGACTGGCGATTCAGGGCCCATTCCCTCGTGCGGATGCCGCCCCTGTTCGATGTCCTTGTTGGCTCAGCTGAGCTGAGGATGGCCGTCGGTCCGTTCCCTGCTGCTGAGCGGGCCGGTCGTTGGCTTCCCAGGACCCTCTGTGTGTCTGGGCACTCCTTCGGGCCGCTCGCACCGATGTGCGGGGCGATCTCGGGCGGCTGCCAGATGTGGCTCCATCGCCAGACGGTGGAGATTCGTGACGGCACGGGGGATGCAGCTCTGGCTCTGGCCACAGCGGAGCGCCCGTGGTACCCGCCAGGCCCGAGGGGCCATGCTCCGACGCCTCTTGCGGGGTCTGTTACCCTGCTGGTTGACTGCGGGGGCTCGTCTCGCCCCCGTGCCGGCGCCGGCGAGGAGCCCGCCCGCGGATGCTTGTCCGCTCCCTCGCCGCCTGCTCTCTTCTCTCTCTGCGGCCCCCCCTTCCGCGCCCCGCGGCCCGCTGCTTCCTCTGCCGCCCTGCGCGGCCCTGCGCCCGATGGATTGGCTCTTCGAATCCGCCTTCTCTCTGTTCGGCCAGTAATTGGCGGGGCCTCCAGGCGAGGAGCTCCTCCGCGGCGCGCCCCCGTCGCGCGCGGGCCCCCCCCCCGCGCCCTGCCGTTCTCGTATCCCGTCCCGCGCCGCAGGTTTTTTTCGGGTGCTGGGCTCCTGCCGCGGCGGCCTTGCGTTCCGCCGCTCGCGTCGCCCGTTCCTCCTGCTGGCTCTTCGTTTTTGGTGGGGTCCTGGGGCTCCCTCTGTTCCCCTTGTTGTATTCTTGTGTTGTGTTGTGTTGTGTTGTGTTGTGTTGTGTTGTGTTGTGTTTGTGTTTGTGTGTGTGTGTGTTTGTGTGTGTGTGTGTGGTTCTCCTCCTGTGTTGTTGGGCTGGGCCCTTCGATTGCCCGTTGTGGTTCTGTTGGGTCGCGCGCTGCTCCTGGTGGCCGCTGGGGCGAGATGGGCGCCAGCGGCAGAGTGCCCAGCGGCCTTTCTTGTTGCCGCCTCTCCCTGTCTCTGTCTCTGTCTTTGTCTCCGTCTTTGTCTCTCTCTCTCTCTCTCTCTCTTTCTTCTTTCTCTCTCTGTCTCTTTTCCATCTCTCTCTCTCTCTCCAGTCGTGTTGTCTTGGCGCTCTGCGCCCCCCTTATTGACCCGCTGGGTGGTGGCGCCGTCCACTCAGTGTGTATGTTTTGGCAGTGATAGTGCGCGGGTTTTAAACGTCCCCCTCCTCCTCCTGTTCCTCCTCCTCCTCCTCCTCCTCCGCGTCAAAGAGGAAGACGAAGGCGAAGGGAAATCCCAGTTTTTGTTGAAGTCTCCAAAACCGTCGACGATCCTGATTGCGCCCTGCCCCGCGCGCCCGACCCGGGCGATGTTGCTCTGCCCGCTGGCCCCCCCGCTGCGGCGGAGGCACTCTCAGAGACCGTTCCGCCGCAGCTCAATGTTGACCTCGACGCGCCAGCCGGGGGGTCCGTCGTCGACGGCGCTGAGTGCGGTGGCAGCGCTGCGCTCCGCCCCGAGTCGGAGGACGACGACGTCGCTGGCGACTTGTCGGTGTCCTTCGCGATCCCTGCCAGCACTTGGGATCGCCGGGCGTTGGATATCATCCGGAGCCATCAGCCCTGGGAGGCCGCGGCATTGTCGGCGGCTCAATCAAGGGGGCCGTCGCCATGTCGCTGTTGCAGAATCTCGCCAATATTCGCCTGGCGGTGGGCAGGCTCGACGGGGGGCCGCGAGACCTTCGGGCAGCGTGACGTCCAGGCCCTTGGAGCTAAGCGCCGTCTGGCAGGCCGCGACGCACCTGGTCGCGCTCGACGGGCCTTCTTTCAGCGAGCGCGGCCGCGTGCAGAGGGGCGCGCGCCGTCGTGGCGCGAGTTTCGACGGCGCCTCCATCGCGCGTGCTCGTCCTCCCCCGACGTCGCCCGCCAGCTGGCGGGCATCTCTGGCGGCGTGGTCAGAAGGGCTCGAGGGCAAGCGCTTCGGCAGTCGTTAGGGCGGTTCCAGGTCTGGATCACCATCGACGAGGCCAGTTCAACCCTGCCCACATCGCTCAGTCGCGCTTTCGTGCCGCACCCGCGCGACGTCGTGGATGCCGAGGTGCAGGAGTGGCGCGCGCAGTGGGCCCCTGCCCCCGTCGACCTCGACGAGCTCGATGAGTTTTTTCCAGGAGCTGCGCGGGCGCCTGGGTTTCTCCGACGAGCTCGAGCCCTCCGACCTTGCCAGGCTTCGCGCTGTCCTCCGCCGCGCGCGGCCGCGGCCCTGGCGCGGGGCCGACCGGTTCCGGCCTGCCGACGTCGAGCGTCTTGCCGGCCAGGCCCTTGAGGGGCTGCTCCAGCTGATCGCCGCCGCCGAGGCTTGCGGCGCCTGGCCGCGGCAGCTGCCGGTCGTGGTCGGTCGCGCGCTGGGCAAGAATAGCAAGAAAAACGGAGGCGAGGGGGTGATTGGTCCGCCGACGATGGTCGCCGAGGTTTGGAGCCGGGCCCGAGGACCCGAAGTGCAGGGCTGGGCCGAGGATACTTGCCCAGCCTGGGACGCCGCGGTCAAGGGCAACTCTGCCGTCTTCGAGGCCTTCGTCGCAGCGGTCGACGAGGGGGCCTGCGCGGCGCCGGGCTTCGCGCGCGCCCGCGCGATGCCCGATCTCAATTCGGTCTACGATTCGACGGGCTGTGTCGAGCTCGGGCGCGTGGCGCTTGAACTGGGATTCTCGCCGGCGATCCTGGCCCTCGAGCTCCCGCAATGTTTGGCCGCCAGGGTGCTCGCGCGCGGCCAGGCGGCGTCTGCGGGCTCCCGCTGCGGGGCCAAGTGGCGCAGGCGCGGCGCGGCCGTCGAGCCCCCGGTGCTCTTCGGCGGCTCGGGCGGCGGTCCCGAGTCCAAGTTCCCCGCCCCGAGGCGCGTGGGCTCAGCAGTGCGCCGCGTGATCGACGACTCCGTCCAGCTGCGCGCGGCGCTTTTTGGGCATCTGGCGGGTGAGCGGCAGACCGCCGTTCCCCGGGGTGGGCTACGGGCTCTGTTGCCTTCAAGTCCCCCGAGGGCTTCGTGTTCTCCTGCGCGGACAACCTCGCCGTCTGCGAGGGCTTGCGGCGAGGGCCAGGCCGGCGGCCGACGAGGCCCGATGCGGATCTTTAGCGTTGCGCTGGGCTGCGT